TTCTAAAAATAAGGTTATGAGTTACTGTATTTTGTAAGTCACTAAAATTTTCTCTTAAAATAGTTATTAGTCTACATAGTGTGTTTTAAATGAACTTAAAATTAAAAGCATATTTTGAAATTAAAAACATATTTTAATTTATCATTGATAATTTCGTACATTTTTAAATATTTAAAGATGCTTTTTTGCTTGCTTAGTATGAAAAAGAAAGGAGAAATTTTTCAAATATACAATATATTCAAATATGAATGCTTTTAAACATATCTTTTGCATATTTTAATTTTATATTTTCAAATTTTTTTTCAAATATAATTTTCAAATACATTTTTTTAAACATGCTACTTCTTTCAAATATGTTTCAAACATAAGTTGCATATGTAGAAATGTACGTAATTTAAAAAACAAAAGTAGAATAAAAATTGCGGAAAGAAGAAACAAATAAAAATAAATAAATAAATAACTGAGAAAGAAAAACAAAATTAAAAAAGGAAAAAGCTATTATTAAAATAATATTTGAAGAGAGAATATTGATGTGAAAATTTATAAATGTTTTCTTCAAATAGAAGCTAGCTAAAACACAAAAGAGATTAGAATTAAATTGAAAAATATCCTGCAGGTTAATACTTAATTTCATTTTTTGTTTTTCCTACCCAAAGGCTATTATTATTTTTGTTTTTATCGACTTTTTCTTATCATTTTTTCTCTTTTTCTTTTTTAGAAATATTTGATATATTGCATTTTTAAAGTGTAATTTTGTTATGAACTATTACTTATTTTGTATTTATTAAAAGATTGTTTGTTTTTTATTTCTTTTTTTTACCTAATGATTTTATTTTTAAACTGAGACTGGAAACTTATGATTGACTAAAATAGCTAGTGATAGTGATAAGCTTTTAGATTAATTCTTATCTTAATTGCAGTATGTTTTATTTCTTTTTCACTTTTTCCTTTTATGAAAGAAACTTAAAAAGTCTATTATTTTTGCTATTACTTCTGATATAATATAAATGTGCCCATTCGTCTTTAAGATGTTTTATCTATCAAAATGTGACAGCAAAATGACAAAAGCTTCTCAAACACATTTCAATTTCTTCCATCCATCTATTCATTTCATTTTTCATTCTATTCCATCTCATTTTACCTTCACATTCTTCATTTTTAATCTAATACTTGAAATTTGGCACCAATTATTAGCTTTTTCATAATTGTATACTTCAAAAAAAAGAGAGGAAAAAAAAAGAATGGAAATTATCCAATTTTTAAGTCCAATATTTATTTCATTGCTATGCAAATTTTTTTCATAAATTTAATTGGAACTTTGAATTTCGTTTTTGAATAAAGTTTTGGAACAAATAATCAAAAATAAATATATATATTCAAAAATTTGAAAAAAAAAAAACATACATATTAATCTAATTATTTATTACTCAAAAATTTTGGAATAAAATTTAATGTCAGCGATATTTTCGTCCTTTTTATGACTTATTTAAAATAAAAAATTAAACTTTTTTTTTGTTTTCTTTTTAAAAAATAATTAAACTTTATATCAGTAAAAGTATTAAAAAAGTGATAACAAATAAAAAATATAATGTTAACCACTTTTTAAAATTATATTTTTTTTCCAAACATTTTTCCAAAAGTTTTGTAAGAGTTCAAATTGGTTTTATTTTGTTTTTTGTGCTAAGTATTACAAGAAAAATAAGCAAGCATCTTGAAAATGCTTAAAAGGGTATGGGATTATCAATGATAATTGAAATAATTTAAATGTTCGCAAAATTTTAGATTAGTAATTTGCAATGGTAAATCATTAGCGATATTTTCCTTCGTAAATTTTACGCTTTAATCATCATTTATATTTTACAAATTATACTTCTAACCTGCTTTTCAACATTTTTCTCTCACTTAATTTTCCTTCAATTCACATTTCATTTCAAATTCTAATTAATTATTAATCCAATATGATGTTCAAATGATTAGTCGAATGATATATAAATTTTTGAGATATTTGAATATGTTTTCTTGAAATGTTATATGAATTAAGGAAATGTTATTGTGCATTAGCTAGTAAAATGTATCATTTCAAATTAAATGTAAATTTTGTTTGCTTGCTTAATTAATTATAAGAATTGACTATAAGAAAAAATTTCACATAAAATAATTCAAAGAGACATTTATGGTTCAGCAAAATCCGTAACATAAAATCATAATAATTTATCTGAAGTTTAATAATTTTTTCGTCATAATTCTTCTTATCATTGCTTATCTTAATCTTTTCTCCTTTTTATTTACCTGGCAATTCCTAATTGTTACTTGTTACAATAAAAATCTACTATTTTTTGTCATTTTTCCTTTTTGGTGTTTAGTTAGCTTAATTAATGGTGTGATATGATATTAACTAACTATGTGTATTTTGTCTCTAATCACTATCACTAATATTAATTTTCGTAATTAATTATACTGCAAAATAGATATTCTTTCATTTTTTCAATTATTTAACTCTTAATAAAATTTCAAAATTAATTAAAAATAAAACTTACGATAAAATTTTTAAAGGAAAAAAGTGAAATTTATTATTAATGAAATGATACAAGAAAATGAAAGCATAAAAATTTTAATGAAAATTAATTTTTCTCACTTGTAATTCTATTTGTGTAATATAATTTACTGTTTAATAAATTCTTTTCATTTACATTCGTAAAATTTTATTTGTGAAAATTTTAATTTTCATAAATGTCACTAAAGAATGCCATTTGAAACAGAATGTAAAAATCATGAATTTAAAGCATTTAATGAATGATTGAATTTTTTCAACTAAACAAAAAAAATTTGGCTTTTCCGTAATTTTCATAATTTCTTCCGATAATCTTCTCATAATCAAATCATAAATTTTCTTCCCACATTTTAAGGAATTTACCTTCCTTAAAGTTTCTTTTTTTTGGCCACACTTAGAAAACTTTAATTATTTAAAATTTTTAAAATTTTGAAAAGCATATTTAATGAATATATTTGTAGACGATTGCAAAAAAAAAAAACGGTCAATTAATTTTATTTACTTATTCATTTGTTTAATTAATATATTTTTTTAATTTGTGTTTATTAACTTATTAAATTTGAAAAATGGTCCCAAACTTTTTTACTACTAAATATGGAAAAGAATAAATAAATATTTTTGTCTATGGAAAATATGGAAAAGAAAATAAATATATTGTTCGAAATAGTAATTATTGTGAAAACAATTGAACTAATAATAGGTTTGCCATTGGATAAATGGAAAAAGAAAAGAAATTAGTCAGAGAAGTTTCAGCGTCAAATAATTTTTCAGTTTAATATCATTAAATGAAATAAATTTTAGGCGCTTTTGATTTGTTCTTTTTTTTTTTTTTGCTAAAATTTTTGTGTTTGTTGGATGAGAAATAAATTGTTTCAATTAAAATGATTTTAAAAAAAAAATTAAATTTTAAGACACTCATCAAAAAATACAGCAATTATTGTTATTATTACAGCTATCATTCAAGTTTACATTTCATTTTCTCAATTTTTCTTAGCCTACCGGAATTGTTCGTTTATCCGTTTTGAATTGCAATTTTATTTTTTCAAAATTTCATCAGTTATTTTCTGCGGTATTAGCATTGCGTGGATAATGCTTTGGAAAAAAAATCTATCTTGTTATGTTGTTATATTCTATTTAGAAGCTATTAGAAGAATAAAAATTTTTTTAATCAAAGATTTTTTTTTTTTTAATTTTATAATTTTTAAGTTATTATTATTACCGCCATTCCTCTGTCGCATTTATAAAACATTTTTTCAAGCATAAATTAAAGATTTTCTTAAATATATATAAAACTATAATTTCTGATCGTTTAAAAAAATCCAAACTAATTGCAATTTGAGCTAATATTTGTAAGAAAAAACAACAGAAGTATCATCTATCAAGGTTACAATTTTCAATTACAAATACAATTTCGAATATTTTTAGTAACATATTTTGCTTACTTTATCAGTGGTTTCATATTTCATAAATGTCTGTGTGTGTGTGTGTGGAATGTTATAAGGAAATGAAACTTTATATCATTAAAATTAAAATATTCTAAAGTACTATTAAAGTAAACAAATGTATCTTATTTACATTCAGAGAATTTATTTTCTCAAATTTAAGTATTTTAATATATTAATAAATAGCAGAGATATATGCATGCTTCATTTAATTTCCAAAAGTTTTTTTTTATCATTAAGATATCAATAGTACAAGAAAATATATCTTATTTATATCCGGTACATTTATTTTTTCAATACTTTTAAAAAATAGAAAAGAAAAAGATTATTGTAATAAAATTTAGCATAATTTCTGATTTAATTATTCATTGGTGTAAATACCTTTCCCATAAAATCCTAATTTTTAAAGTATTTTTTTTACATATCTTTAATATAAAATTTTTACTTGAAACTTTGATGAGGCAAATGAAAATTTCCTTTACATAAAATACTTTCTTAATTTAAGAGTGATATTTTGAAAAAGCTAAAAATTTTAATTCAATGTTTACATATCACATTTTAATATAATATAATATAAATATAATATATAATAATAATAATAATAATAATATAAATATAATATATATAATAATATAAAATATTTTGTTTATAAAAATTTTTAAAAACAATACTTAATTACTATTTTTTTATGAATGATTTTTACAATTAATCAATAATTTTTTACAATCTTTTAAGAAATTGATGCGTAGTTTATTCATTTTTCAATTTATTAATTTTTCTTTTCCATATTTCTTTTTTTAAATTAATAAATTTTTTGTACAAATTATTCAAATTAACTTGTAATAAATATTATTTAATAATGAGTTGTGTAGTATATATGTATACAGTTATATCGCTGATGATAATATTAATTAGTAATTACAATGAATTAATTAATAAAAATTGTTTAGATAATGAAAAAATCGAATCAGTTTCAATCGTATGAACATACTTATGGAAAACCGGTTATGCATACCGGACGTCGTTTACCTCCTACACCAATTTCATCTAATCATATATTATCCTTATCACAAACTGCTCCAGCAACAGCAAATTCATCACCAAAAATAATACTGACGAGTAATAATTCGGTAAATTCCGGATGCCTATTCGCTTTTCAAAATATTGAATTGGTAATGTTTTTTAAAATATGTCAACGGCTTGTCACATTTATTTTACAATTTAAAATTTTATGTGTTGCATTCCATTTTTATTATTAGTGTTACATTCTTTTCCTTTAAACAAATAATAAATGAATTTATTGGAAGTCGGAAATTCTTGAATTTTACCAATTACACAATTAATTATAATACATTCGTTAAGTTTCGCATTACAAATTCAAATTTTTATCCAATGTAATGGAAAAAAAAGTAAAATAAATTTTTCTGAGTTTATAAATCTTATCATTTTAATAGGAATTTTATGTAATTTATGCTTGAATAGTTTCCATTGCATAAAATTTTTGTTACAAAAAAAAAGAAAAATCAATGAACCCTATTTCATGTCATTTTTTCTTCTTTTTTCTTTTTTTTTATAAAAAAAAGAATTGTTAAGCAAATGAACTTTCATTGTGACAAACGGAAAAGTCGTTTTGAGAACTTTTCAAAAGTTCCTCATTTCCTTTAGAAATATTAAAATTCAACTTACATTTAGAAAGATTGATATGCTTCCTTCAAAATGCGCATTCAGTTAAAAATAATAACAAAAAAAAAAGAAAAAACGAAAAGAAGAAAGAACAAAAAACATAAAATATAATTCAAAATATGTAAATTATTTGAATGATTGATTATGAAGTTGAATGAGACGAAAAAAAGACTTTAAAATTGTTAGTAGCTGAAAAATTTTTGTGTTTTTCTTTTTTTTTTTCATGAAATACATAATAAACATTGATAAGTAAATAAAAAAACTTATCATAGCAAAAAAAAAAAAATCATTAAATTTTTTAATTGATAAAGTACTAACCCAAAAAATTAATAATTTGAAAAAAATGAAAGAAAAAAATTACATTTCATTTACACTACTATTTTTAAATCATTATCTTGTTAAAAATTTTTTAAGCCTAATTTTTTAGTCATTAAATTTAAAGACTAATTTTTATTTTAAAAATTAAAGTTAATGAAAGGATCAATTATTGAAATAATTTAGAATCGAGGAGCACAATCATATGATGACAATTTGCCAATGATACATTCAAGCAATCGTAAATTACCGTTGAATCAAGGACGAAGCCACAACTCTACGCCACATATTGCTATGTAAGTATTTTTTTTAATCATTGAACACTAAAGATTAGTAATTTGCTAAGTTATATTAAAAATTGTATTAATTAAAGACTATATGCTAATTAAAGACCGAAAAAAAAATTGGATTAACTTTTTGTCGCAGTTACTTTTTAAAATTACTTACTGCAAAATAGATAAATAATAATAAATAATGTTAGCATAAGAATCTTTTTTATAAATATTTTTTTAGTTCAATTCTTGCATATTAGAAAATTTTTTCCAATTAGCAACAAAAATTATAAAATTTGTCACAAAACAGCTAATCAAATTCAGAAAACTTCAAAAAACTATTTAGGAAATGAACTGAAAAAATTGTTCAAAGTTTATCGTTTTTTTTTCATTCATTTTTTTTTTTTTTGAATAATTAAAATAATTTATTTTCTTTGAAGATTGGCCTCCTTCAAAAACCAGTTAAATTAGTTAACAAAATTTTTAACCTTTGACCGCATAGTTGAGCTTAAATTAGTTAGATATTTAACAAGTTTTAAAGATTTTTTGATAAAAGATTAGTCAATTAAACAACCGTCCAAAGCTGATTTTCTTCTTTTTCGTTTTTCTTTAAACAAAATTGTCAAATTTTTAGTAGTAAAAATATAAAAATTACTGATTTTTTGCTGTTCTTTCAGAAATTTTGATATCATTCATGAAAATTTCCATTTTTTTTTTTTTTTTTTGCTTTTTAATGCTAAATCGAAACAAATATGTGTACATTTATGCTTTTCTTTTCAGCATACTTTATTCTTTTATTTTAGCTTATCACTGATTATTTTATCTTATCAAATTTATGCACCATTTTTCTCAAATTAAAATCCAAAAAGAAAAAGAAAAAACAATCGCTAAAAATCAAAAAATTTTCTTTTTTTGATATCATTGGCTTTTGCAGGGAAAAAAATTTCATCCATTTCTTAACTTATTTTTTAATTCAAATTGTATCAATTTTGTTTATAGAATATCATATAATGCCACATCACACTATATCATATCACATCACATCGCATCATATCATATCAATATTGTCATAACATGTCACATCATATCATATCATATCATACCAAGTATTTTTTTATTCCCATTTAAGCCATTTGTTTCTGTCATTTCCAGTATTTTATAAATTATTTTTCAAAATCTTTGCGAATTTTTGTTTTTTTTTTTTAAAAAAAGAATGGAAAAAAAATAAGTGAAAATGAAAAGTTAAATAATAAAAGAAAAGTGTTTAATGACTTGATAAGATATTTAGAATTTAAAAAAATTAGTGTAAGAGAGTGAATGTAAGAGGAATATGATGCAATTAGATCTATCGATTTGTCTCTTCTTCCTCTTTTTTCTTTTATTTTTGTCTCATCAAGAAATTTTCAGTTAATTTATTTATTGCTCATTTTGAAATTATGACTTACACTAAGATTTCGAAGTCCTAAAATTATTTACAATAATGAAAAAAATATCAAAATTTTAAGACTGTTTACACTCAAAATTTCGAAATTATAAAAATGTTTATTTTTTGTGATATTTTAATGAAACGAACTTTGAATTTTAAATCACAATATGTAATCACTTATGTGATTGTATTAAGTTAATCATAATTTCTAATTGTTATAGTGATAATAAATCGATACCCAGAACAGACACACACAAAATACAGACATATGCATGCATACATACATCTTTACACCTAGGATAAATTAATAGTAAGTTTTATTCTCATTGAAGATACCTTTGTTTCTAAATAATTGAATTGGAATAATCAGAATATATAGAAGAAAGAAACTTATTATATTACAAACATGAAATAATTTAATTACTGTTGTGAAAAGCTTTATTCTAGCATTGAAATTATTGGCAAGTAAAGTGACAAGTTGACAACTTGGATAACATTTGTTAATCAAAAATGTAAAACTATTATTGTTGATTGAATAGCTTAATCAATTGAATACTTAGCACTTATCAATTTTATTTATTTTTTAATAGGATTAGCTAGTGTTTAAAGATTGAATCATCTATGAATAATAATTGTTTACATTTGGTGAAATGTTGTCATTTCATTTAAAGTTGAAAAAATTTTCACTTCATTTGATTTCTTATTTCATCCAATTTCGAAATTTCAGACAATTCGAGCATTACTAATTGTTCCCCAATTTAATTAATGCGCTAATTAGAATACTTCTTAATTTGTTAATCAAAATTAAAGTTTGATATTTCAATTGAATTTTGCTTTTTTTTAAAACAATTTACAAGAACATTATTCGATAACATTTATTAAATATTTGCTATTTACTAAATATTTACATTTATTAAATAATAAATTTTATTAAACAATTGAAATGAATTTAATTGTATTCTTTGTAGTTGATTTTGAAAGAATAGAAGTTTTTACTTAATATATTATAATTAAGAAATTAAATTTACGCTCATAATAAATATTTTTCTTTTTTACATCACATAGTATTATCAAAGTTAGTTATTATTTACATCTGTTAATGTATATCTATAAATTTTCAATCATTTCTTCACATTTCTTTAACAATAAAAGAGAAGAAAAAGAATGCCACTAAATTTAATTGATGAATTCTAATTTAATTCACTCCTTTCAATTTCATTCATTCACAAATAAATGAGAGTAATTTAATCGCTCATTCAAACATTATCAACCATTTTTTATTCCTTAATTATTATTTCAATTCTCTTCAAGTATTTACGAATAAAATCCTTCAAATAAATATTGAAATCTATATCACAGCAACTAATTTGTTTTAAATTGTTATTTTTGTTATATATATACGTGTGTGTGTCTGTGTGTGTGTGTGTATGTGTGTGTGTGTGTATGTGTGTGTGTATGTGTGTGTGTGTGTGTGTGTGTGTATGTGTGTGTGTGTGTGTGTGTGTATGTGTGTGTGTGTGTGTGTGTGTGTGTGTGTGTGTGTGTGTGTGTGTGTGTGTGTGTGTGTGTGTGTGTGTGTGTGTGTGTGTGTGTGTGTGTGTGTGTGTGTGTGTGTGTGTGTGTGTGTGTGTCAGTCTATTCAATATGCAATTTAAATTACATATTGAGAGGAATCACATATTCGTGATTAACTTTATGAAAAAATAATAAAAAGATGAAAAATCAAAATAAAAAGAATTTTATTGAAGTAAAATACATAAAATATTCATTCAATCTTTTCATTATTTCCTATAAAAAGTATGCAGAAAAGAGTTAGCAAAGAAGACAAAGAGACCGGGGGTTAGAGAGAGAGAGGAGAGAGAGGGAGAGGAGAGGGAGAGAGAGGAGAGAGAGGAAGAGGAGAGAGAGGGAGAGGAGAGAGAGGGAGAGGAGAGAGAGGGGAGTTGAAATGAATGGAAGAAGAGCAAACGGGGCAAATAAATTAAGCGGAAAAGCAATAAGGAAGAAGAAAATGGATAAATGAGTGTCGGAAGTTTTTTCTTTATTTTTTTTCTCGAGAAAGCCATTTCTCGAAGCTAATTGCTTTCAATGATCTGATCGATATGCTACCATTAAAACAAATAAAAGAACTAATTATTGTTAAATGAATGAATTGTTTTATTTGCTTTCTTCTTATTCATTCTTTAAAAAAAAAAAAAAATGTATTACTGTAATTTTAAATCAAAAGTTAAATATTACTATTACAAATTATATCATTTATCAATTATTTATTTATTATATACCACATATCACAAATATTAGTACTGATTGATTATATATTATCATTTAATAATAAATTTATTCCGTTAATTCGCATACTGATATGATAATTATGCATGCTTAAGTACTGAAATTTAATTCTAAAAAGTATTGAAATTTTGGTAGTAAATAAATATTGAAATTTAATGCATTTTTAGATCAAAAATTATTGATGTATTTGTGATCATTTTTCATTTTCACTTTCTTAATCTGTTTGATTCAGTTTCCTATTTAAGCTAATTTACTTTCATTTAATTCATTTTGTTACTTAATAGGTTTTTAAGTTTTCTGTCTTCATTTTTTTTTAAATCTTCATTTTTTATGTTTGCTTTTCTGAAAGAAGAAAAACATGAAAGTAAATTTTTTATTAAATTATTAATCGAATTTATTAATAATTTATTAATCAAATTCAGGCTGATTTAAGCTAATTTTGCTTTTTATGCAAAATTTTTGACATTTATAAAACACTATTTGTAGCAAGATTTATGTTGAGCTAATAAATTATAACTACATTTCAATTCATGAAAAGTTGATTTTTATTAATATTTTCAGGATATATTATAGATTTTCAGGATATATTATAGATAATCTTCTATTTGTCTTGTTTTTTCAGTCCTTTTCGAAGTAATTTTGAATTTTAAAAAATTTAAAATTTAATAATTTAAAATATTTTTTGCCACATCAAATTGAATATTTTGGATCAATTAATTATGATTAACGCAGAAAATTTATGCTGTAGGCATTTTATTATGATAGTACTTTTAAGTGTTTATATATTTTATATCAAACAACCAAGTTTTGTTTACTGTTAGGAAAAATTATCATTTATCATAAGGAAGTCATAAAGTTGTAACACTTCTACCATTTCTAATTTATAGTTTTGCATTTTATACCGCATAAAATTTGATTTTTAATTGTAAAGATCCAATAATCTTACATTTTCATCAATACACCAAGTATGAAATTAGTGATTTAACGTGATTTCTTCTTTTTTTTAAAATCTAAATCATTAATTTATTTTTATTTTTGGTTGAATTTATCTCATTTAATTGTTATTTATTTTATAGTTTATATCATTATTCTTCTCTTCGCTTTTAATTGGTACGGTTAAATTTTTAAAATTGTTAAATATTTTTGCTAAAATTTCCAAATTTCTATCTCTAATAAATAATAAAAAGATACGGAATTTTTTGAAATTTGATAGTTTAAATTAATTATTATTAATAAGTAATTAATCATATTTCTTCTACTCATCACTAATTAATAATATTTAATTTGAAATTTTTGACAAATTATTTAGCAAT